CGGGTAAACCGACTCTAGGTCATTGCGAGTCGACAGATTCACACGCTTCGCAGTCTATGTGTTGCGCCAAATGATTTCCCATTATCTAAATGTTGCTCACAGCACAAATAATAACGTACCCGTAACATATTCCACTGTCAGACATCGTTCGTTGAATTTCGTGGAGGCTACCATAAGCAACTGCTGATTGGGCGCCACAAAAAGCACTTGTTTTGGCGTATCTTAGATGGGCAACCGCGTTTCTTTATTTCGTATTAACTGCAGCAAAGTTGGTGTCTATATGATTGATTGTGCCTATCTGTACACTTTGGTGACGTCACGATATGTGCTAGGAAGTTTGGTGAAGATATCGTATGTAACCGTAACGTTTTGTTCGTGCGGTTTTTAAATGCAATCAATCAATCATGTTTTGTAGTTTATGCAATATTCATTTGTCAAATGGTAAGATTTACATCCGAGTATGTTATGCCAATAGATACAATAATGTAAACCAAACATAGGATAGGGTAGGTCTATCCTTGGGCCCTATGATCTATCCGGGATAGGTAGACCGGCCCAAGGATAGAGAACATGGGTCCCAATAAAACCAATGTGCCTAACCCTAACCATAATTCTAACCCTGGCCCTAACGGCCCAAGGATAGAGAACATGGGTCCCAATAAAACCAATGTGCCTAACCCTAACCATAACCCTAATTCTAACCCCAACCCTAAACCTAACCCTAACCATAACCCTAACCTATTATATTGATATAATATTATATTTATATTGATGTAAATGACATTGGTTTTATTGGGACCCGGGCCATGTTCTCTATCCTTGAACTGATCAGGCCGCACCCACACTCCACAGGGGTAACCCGACCAGGCTGTGTGACTGACGTCAATATACAGCCTGACATCCATCCATTGGAAAATCTTGTACCGCTACAAAAACTGGCGAACAATTACATATATCTCAAATAAAATAATCATCTAAGCATTTCCGCCTTGTTTTGTATTAATTATAACCTTCACCTTATAAGTTATAGTATTCCAGCGTTGTTATTATTATTAAAACTAATAGTAATACCTCAATTCACTGTGCACAGTGTGAGTGTAAGTTTTAAGAGCCGAACCGAAATTTCAACTAACCGCCAAACCGCCATATTTCCAGTGCGCATGCTTTGAAACGGCACGCGGAAAACCCGAAACGACATAACGTACCATAGCGTTGCAACTCGCGTTGGCGCGAGCATAAATATTAAAAAATAAGCATATGCTCGTGTATATATATAAATATTAAAACATTGAAAACCAGGAAACATCAATCTACAACAACTTAATAATTATCATTGTGAAGATATGTACTTGCCTTGTGTTTAGGCCTACGTTCAGTGAAAATCAGGTCCATTGCCGATTTTAGTCGCGCTGAACATGGCGTACATGGCAGCTGTCTGGTTGTTTTGATCCAATTCATCTCAGAAAAATGGCATAACTTGATAAATAAGTAGCGCCCAGTAGCGCCCAGTTACCGCGAGCAAGCCAGAGGTTCATAGATTCGTTTGAGCTATTACATGTGACGCTAGCTGTGTCGATGGTTGGATACCGAGCCAACTACAAGGAATTGTGGGCAAGAATTTGAAACGGTATTCTAACCCTAGCAATACCGTTTCTTGTAGCTACCACAGGGGCACCTATCCTGTGTTTGGGTTACATTATTGACCATTGGCATTGTATCTATAATAATCTAGTTATGCCACATTCGATAATTTGTGTTGCGTCGTTTGTAAATTGTAAGACATAGACCCTATGAGCCTAACTACCTAGTACTAGTAGTAGGCCCCTAGTACTAGTAGTGAGTAGTGGCAGTGGGCCAGTGCCAGTCACACTCAGTCAGTGACTCGCACTCACAGCCACTTGGAACGTTTCAATAATAAAATGATGATGGTAAATAAGCACGAAATGTATTTACTACCAAACTCTTAATATTTCTCTACTCTCTTTCGCCTATTATTGCCAACTTGCCTATTATTACTAACTTCCTGTAAATGCCGTTCAAATGCTCCTCTGCAACACACAAGTACACCGCATACACTCTGCTGTGCACAAACAACAAATATAAAGAACAAATATTTAAAATCAATAAGGGGATTATTGGGGGATTCCCCCATTATGTACTACTAATTACACATAATATTTGTCTGGCATGGTAATGTGTTCCTGGACTGTCTAAATGTGATCAATGATTAATTGCAAAGGAAACTGTAGGCTAATGATGTACTCATTATACATGTGCTTTAGATAATGATGAAAAATTACATCTGGCTGGAAAGAAACACCTGCACATGGCTGATGTAAACAGAAGATGGAAAGAGGAAAACGAGAGAAGCGTATATGTGAGAGGCTTCTCACCAGGTGCCTCTGAGCTTGCTTTACTTGACTTTTTTGCCAAGTGTGGCAATGTAGAAAAAGTATACCTTGACAAAAAACAGGTAAAATGACACCTTAACTTTAAGCTACTAACTGAGGTTAACGAAACCAATTTGAATTTTTATAGGGGAAATTATTTGGGAATAAATGGCTAGAAATTTCCATAAAACCCACTCATGAGTATGACCACCTGATTTGGAAATGAACTAATGTGGTTTTTAACTACATGGATGCACATGGTTTCTTCTGTGCTACTAGCAACTTAAGCTGCTGAAAATTTTAATTCACTGGGAAATGGAGTTGTTATGCGCACCTCATAAAATAACCCTTGCACACATTTGGTGAACAGCTTTGTGCCATAAAACTAAAAAGCCTTGTCTTCCATTGTATCATTGACACATGTTCAGTGCATGTGGAAATTTCTGCATACGTGTTCCCACTAACATCGACATTGTTTTGTTGCCGGGCAAGTGGAACTATGCCTTTGTTGTGTTTGAAACTAAACTGGCTGCAGCAGAGGCCGTGAAGATGAGCGGTGCAACCATGATGGGAACCCGACTCGTGGTGCGACCAAAACGCCACACACCTCCGCGCACTGAGACAAGGAAGAATCCACAGAGGGCAGAACCAGTGGATAAATCCACTGTGGATGGTACCATTCTGAATGACTTGAATAAGCAAGACAGTGTAAGAATCATTGGGACTTTACAGTGGCACCTTGATTTAAGTGCCCCGATTTAACGCAAATTCGGATATAACGCGATGAGATGTTGGACCCCCTTTTTTTACTCTTATATAGCCACGTATATATAATCCTGATTTAGTGCGACCCCCGCTTTTTTCGCGATGTCATTTTATGGACCCCAACCATCGCGTTATAACGGGGCTACACTGTACTTGCTAGTTACTTGTTTCTCTACTATGATGTACTTTTTTCAGTACGTTTTATAGAATTATGGGGGCACTTCTGCACTGAGCATCTATTTTGTTATGCTCATCTGTTATTCCATGGGTTCAATAATACGGTATAACTGGTCTTGGAAAACATTTAAACCATTCAGAGTGAACCATATTCTAATACTAATTATCCAGTAATCAGTTGACACATCCACTAAATATGCAGCTTTACAGGTCTCACAACAGATGGTAAAGTTAGTAGCCGAGATGCAACTCTCGGCTTCTCAACATGCAACAAGGCTAGAAATTTGCTCCTACCTCAATCAGGTATTTTATGTTAGCATTGAATTTTTTCTGGTATAGCATTTTATTACTAGTATTTCACTCGGTTTAATTTCACCACGAACGTGTTTATCTAGAACTAGCTGGGCTTCCCGGCGATGCTCGGGATAAAGGAGAAAAGAGCTAGAATTTAGTCTGCCATCACGTCTGTACTGATCCATCCCTCTCTTTCCCTTTCCCTTTTTCCCCCTTCCCCTCCCCCCTTCTCTTTTTCTCTTTTTCTCCTTTTTTGTAAATTGTTTTTGCCTTATGCGTCGTCGCGTCATGCTGATTCAGAATATATATGGTGTTGGGGGTGACCTCTTACGGGTCTCAAGAAGATAGACGGACAGACAGACAGACGGATCCGGCCATTTATGTAGGAGATTAATGCTGATACAGCTAATATTAGCGAATGTGAATGAACACATTAGCCTAACATGCTAAATAACTAAAATGACCAGCGTCAATAAACGTAATGCCGTGCTACACTTTGTACATAACGCTGATACAGATAATTATGGAAAGCCATACAAAAATCATTTTCAAACATTTCAAATACACAATTTTAAATCAATTTTAAACATTTCTAATTAATTATTAAAAATTCAAATTACTTTATATTGTTTGAGAAATTTAAATTCAAAATTTAAAATCAATTTACAGAATAACAAATCAATTTATTAACTTGCAAATTAATTCAAAACTTTCCAAAATAATTGCCTGATATACAAATTCCTTCACATCATTGTAAAAATTCATTTTCTAAACGTACAATTTATTTTCAAAACAACAAACGTTATTAAAAGTATTTAAATTAATTATAAAGTATTAAGATTAATGTTAAAAGTAATAAATTAATTTCAAACTTAGTGAACTGATTCATTATTCTGTAAATTAATTTAAAACTTATAATTTTAATTGTTAGGGTGATGAAGCAAGATTTGAACATTTGTGAGTTTATGTAACATGTTCTCAATTAAATTGCAAGTTAGTAAATTGGTTTGTTGTTTTGAAAATAAATTGTACGTTTGGAAAATTGAAGGGGATGGCTTTCCATAGATAATATTAACGATTGTGAATTAACACATTAGCATAACATGCCAAATTAATTTGACCGATGTTTGTTTACATGTCTGTCACTAAGCAATTTATGGATGCTCACTTGACAATCCGAATATGCGCACCCCAAACTCGTTCCAAAATGTACCGCTCATTTGCGGGGGCGCCACCGTCCAATGACATTTTATGCATTGGATTGAATTCATTTTATTTCTTCCATGCCCCTTTCGGGCCATGGAAGAAATACATAATTACATAATAAACATAGGAATTATGTATGACAACATTTGACAAACAATTAAATAAACGGTAAGATTTAATAAATAACTATAGCACCTGGTGTTACATGACACCATAGATACTTCACGTACATATTACTGTGTATATAAGTGATGCCATTGGACGATGGCACTTGCCCCCTCGCTTTTTCTCTTTTTTCCCCTTATTTTGCACTTTTTTTGCAAATTTTTTTGGCTTAAAATGGTCGTCGCGTCATGCTGATTCAGAATATATATGGTGTTGGGGGTCACCTCTTACGGGTCTCGAGAAGATAGACGGACAGACAGACTCCGCCATTTATGTAAGAGATACAATCTACAATATGTACATTGTAGTAATAAAGTAGGAACCCTACCATTTCTGACTCAATCCAAAGCCTATAGGTAAGGATAAATAAATTCATTTACTTTCACCATGGCTTTATAGTTTACATTTATGTCATTACTGAAATGGTGAAGTATATTTAATTAGTTGAATATAATTAGTGACTTGATAATGTGTGCTGCAGGTTCTGTCTCATTTCTTCCCTGCCTGTACTGTTCATCAATTTGGGTCATCATGTAATGGATTCGGAGTGAAGGGAAGTGACTTGGACTTATACCTCGATCTACAAAGTGAAAATTCATCTCAGACGGTACATAACTAACGTTGCCAATGTATTGCTATCTGTTTAGTGAACTGGATACACTAATCTGTGTATACCAAAGTATTGCATTCAGTAGTATGTACACTGAAGTATATTTTTTCAGTAAGTATTAATTATACATTGGTTTATTATGTTTACTATTGCGCTGTCAGGTTAATTATAGCAATAGAGGTATCAATCTGTCGGTGTAAACAACTAGTGATATATGCCTGACATTGTTTTTCACGATGTGTGTATGAATGAAACTCGCAGCACTCCGAGGGCAAGCCACTTCCTCGTGCTGCATTGATGGATATCGCCAGCTGGAAAATGGTGAGAGCAGAGAAGATCAGACCGGAGAAGCTTGCAAACCACACTATCCAGCAGACAACAGGATTGCTGCGAGAGATTGTGAAAGGATGCCTTCCGGGGACACGTAATGTCGTGGCCATCAAACATGCTCGTTGCCCTGTTGTGAAGTTTACCTACGGCACTGAAGCAATCCAGTGTGACCTCAGCTTAAACAACAGGTAGCGTGGGGAGCTGATCATATGATTCTGTAGATCATCTTATTAGTAAATTGTGATTAAGTTTGTCAGATCAAAATGTTCTTTTAAACCACATGTACAAATGTACTTTGTTAAAATGGGACTGTAAGTAGCTAACAGTCGATTCTACTACAACCTGGGAAAATCACAAGTTCACAGAATACGTTCAAGAAGTTATACATTCTTGTCTTTATTGATACCAAAATTTCTCTGGTGAAAACATTCAAATGTGGGAGAAACCAGCTAAAACGTTATTCTCCCTGTGTAATACATTATCCTGGTATGTGAGAAATAACATTTTGAAAGATTAATAATTGTTTACAGATGACAGCAAAAAGACTAGTAAAAAGTTAACATAAATTTCATCTTTGTTTCAGGCTAGCACAGCGTAATACTGACCTGCTCTATCTGTACAGTGTATATGATAGCCGAGTGCGCCCACTAGTGTTTACAGTGAGACAATGGGCAAAGCTGTGTAATGTGGGTGGATGTGGTCAAGGTAATATCATGTATACTAGATATCCTCACTTTCAGGCATGGTGCTCATGTATAGTTCATCGATATCTGTATTGGTTCTTGCATCATGTACATTGGTTTGAAAGCAAATATATGCAATATGTTTTCAGAAATACTATTACTAGTATCACAAGTTCTATTCATTGTCAGTTTGGTTTGTAGAGGAGCCTCTTTCTTTCATGTAGCTCCTGTTCTCTTTGCTACTTATCATTATTCAACAACCAATATTCTAGCCATAGGGCTAGCAATAACCTACGAAGATTTATTGCCCAGTTTATTGTTGCAACCTAAGCATTTAAGAACTGACAATTTTCATGGATCATTGCCAATCTTGCCTACCTCCTTCGCATTCCTGCTTTGTTCTGGTGTGCTATTGTGGTTATGCATGACATTTGACATTCCTTTACAGGTGCAAGACTCAACAGTTACGCGGTTACGCTGTTGGTCCTATTCTTCTTGGAGGTGGAACATGTTGTGCCCTCAGTTCAACAGCTTAAGGAACTATGCAGTAAGTAGCTACTCTATCTGCCTGCTAGTAGCAAAAGAAGATGTGAGTGATGTTGCCCCTTGTTAGTGCTGATCCTGTTTCTCATCTTATATCGCAGGTGCAGATGAGTCGTGCGAGCTGGAAGGTTGGGACTGTAGCTTCTGCAACTGCCTTAGCAAGCTTCCACCACCAGAGTGCTCTCTAACATCAGGTCTGGTTAAGGTTTTGTTCTACAACGTGTTTCCACCGTTTGAAGTAAAATTATTACAGTATAAAGTTACATCTATACTATAAGCATGTTGCGTGTGCATGCATGTTTGGCTTGCAGAACTCTTTCAAAACTGCTGGGCCAATTGCACCCATACATGGCATGTGGACTCAGTTGGTCGCTGGCTTGGTTTTAGGCTGAAATAGTGTTTACTACATCTGAAATTCTGTAAATGTTCAAAACGACTAGCTAACCGGGTTTCCCACTAGTGATTTATGTGATTTTCTTTTAGCGGAACTTCTTGCAAAGTTCTTCAACTATTTTGCTATGGATTTCGACTTCAACAGCTACGTGGTTTGTCCAAGAACAGGCGAACCAACTCTTACTAGTGCCATTACAGGTGCTGCTTACAACAGCAACGATTCATTTAAGGTACTGATATACAAACTGGCAATATAAACAATAACGGGCTATATTGAGTGCAAATCATATGGTCTCGTAAGGCGAGAATTTTTTATTTTGTTGGTTTACAGATCCGCCGACCCGAATTTTCAAGAAAAACGGAAAAAAAAAATTTAAAATCTGTATTTTTTTATTCCTGCCGACCCTTTCTCTAAGAAATATGAATAAAAAACATTTTTTTTAACGTACAAAAACAAAAACATTTCATAAACAAACAGTTTATAATAAAAGGAAAAATAATTACAAGTTGAGTTTTGCTTTCATTTAGTTTTCTTAAAATACTTTAATATCATGTATAACAGTATCACTGTATTTTGACTTGTTTGATCTGACGAAACGACATTTTTTTTTTTTTTTTTTTACCCTACCAAGTCAACAACAACAACAAAAATTCTGTAAACCAACAAAATAAAAAATGGTGGCCTAATGTTCTTTACATAAAAAAGACTAGGGAAACAAGCACACGCTGAGAAACAATGAACCCATTGATACTGATGAGCATCAGTGCAAAATTTATTTTGGTATAACATTTTTTTTATACTTTAATAATTTCATCAGTACAGTGTTACATGGAAATAATGATAAAATATCTTGTTATCTTTATGTTAGTGCACATTTCACCACAGAATCCTCTATCACTGTTTAGAAATAATAAAATTGCATACTCTAATACATGTCTAATGCCATAATTTTGGTAAATGTTATCAGGTAAATCAGATGTGCATCCAGGACCCATTTTTACTCACTCACAACGTAGCAATGAATGTACCGGAGAAAGGCTTTCTGCATATAATGCAGGAGTTTCGGCAAGCAGCCCAAATTTGCCAGACTTCGGCATTCGGTGGCAAAACTGACGAGGTAATATTACTCACATTGTTGTCAGACAGGGTATGTGCACAGGAAGGCTCACATATGCCACAGGGTTGTATTTACAGAATTAGATTAGTCCATTATTAGTAAATTGCCAGGTAGCAATGCATTCTTATATTAACTGGGCAACGTGCATTTGTGTCATATGTTGTTTTCCTGATGATACAGATCTTTTATGATTGATGCCTATCCAGGGTGTGAAAAAAAGAGTTGATTGTGTTTCCAGTCTCGTATATCAAACTTATTCCATACATGCTAAATTGCGTATATAATCTATTTAGTCACATGGTGAGAAGTGGGGCCTCGGCCTGCTTCTAGAGGATTCTTCACAAGTGCAAGGCAATGTGATGGCTGGACCATCTCAGAAACACCAGTTCAGCATCATCTTCAGGAAACAGCAAATAACTGCCGAGTTTTTGAGCAGACATGGTATTCACTAACTTCAATCTTGTATCGCTCCCAAAACTAATTTTGCCATAAGAGTGTTTATTTGTGTTTATCCTGGTTATAGCTAGGATTCCATTTGAACTATTTTTGAAATGCCAGGATACAGCATGTATGCATATCATCATATTATAGTGTGTTGGTAAATCGTCATTGTATATATTTATTTCAGAATCGCCAGAGCAAGTCATGCGGGCTTGGTTCTCGGATGTTGTTTCCCTTTTCAAAATGATCCTCTGTGAGTGTCTACTCTTCACATGTGAACTAGATCCCAGCACACTCCTATCCACAAGTGACCAACGGATGGCCAACAGACTTGTGGAAGCAGATAGCCATATCACAAACGTACCCAATGCTATTAATGATAGCATTAGTAACACTGGCAATGACCAACTGATAGGGCAAAACACAGACAGCTTTGGGAACCATGCTGCAGTCACAGGGAGCAGTGGAGGTGCGGATACTATAAGTTGTAACCCAAGTCCAGCACACACCTTTGAGAGTGCTGGTGAGCGACTCTTGAAAGCTTTACATGTTATTGAGGACAATCACACTGATGTTATCTCACCACCCTCTAAGAAGAGAAGTCATGTTGACGAGACCAGCGACACGGACCCACTTCTGAGCGAACATAAGCGCTGCAAGCACAGTGATGTGCCCGTGTCTCTTCCTGATAGTGCCAACCATGTAGCTTCACAGTCCCTGTCAGGTAACAGCAGCATTGCAGTGTCACCGCCCATGCCAACACAGACTAACACTGAAGTCTTAGAGCCCATGGCAAGACAGACCAGCAGTGAAGTGTTGGAGCCCATGGCAACACAGACTAACAGTGAAGTGTTAGAGCCCATGGCAAGACAGACCAGCAGTGAAGTGTTGGAGCCCATGGTAAGACAGACCAGCGGAGCAGTGTCACCAACCCTGCAGAGTTCGTCTGGTAATCAGACAAGTAGTGCACTTGATCAGGTCTGTGAGGGTGCGACTAGTGAAGGTTGCATAGGGGAGGACAGGGAGTACACAGAGCAGAACAAGGACGAGCGTGACAGCATACAGGA